GGGTTTTTAATATTTTATAGGATTTATCTTGTAAACTAAGAGATCTAGAATAGTGAAACTGTCTTCTAACCCTATTTAGGATATATTTCAGGTTTTTAATATTTTATAGGATTTATCTTGTAAACTAAGAGATCTAGAATAGTGAAACTGTCTTCTAACCCTATTTAGGATATATTTTAGGTTTTTAATATTTTATGGGATTTACCTTGTAAATTAAGAGACCTAGAATAGTAAAACTTTGTCTTCTAACCCGTGGTAAGCTGTAGTTCTTATATTTTTAAAATTATGGGAAGACGTGTTTGAAGTTCAGAGATCTAAAATTATGAAACTTGGTTTGTTGGAAGCCCACTTATTGAACTTGGAATATTATTGCTTGCTATGTAAAGTTTGTTAAAGTGATGTTTAAATGTAAACATGTTTTTTTGTTGCTGCTTTAAATGGGTCTTCTGAAAGTTCACATAAAAAGAGAATAATATGTTATTCAAACATATCATGAAAATGTAAATAAGATATAGATGACGTGATGATATTAGTAATATAATTCTAGGGGAATATAATGTTCAAAATAGACATCAGATATTTAAGTAATTGGTGTAATTATGTAGTAATTAAGTAGTAGGTATACATAGATTTGAAAAAGTAACAGCATAGTAATGCTACCAACATATGCTTGAAGAGAGTTTAGCTGAGTAAGGTACCCATTCTTTGTCCTGGTTATGAACTTAAAAAAATGTGGGGGGGTGGATGCTATGATAAATAATGCTAAATCCTAACTTTCACACAATTTATTTTTATTATTACAGTACTTATTATTACCTCACCTAAAATTTTCTATAAGCTTTAAGAACTCAATATGTATATACTTAAAACATGGTATACACTGTGCGATGGTCAGTGTGACTTTGTAGGAAGAGGTAGTGGCCAAAGTAGTGGTGGTAGGAGTACTTTCTGTTACCCACTTTCAACACCCAGCTCTTAATGTCCTTCCATCGTGTTTCACACAATTAATTAATTGACTGCAGAAATGTCTTATAGACCTAAGTTGGAAGGTCATGGGTCAAAGTAAGAAGTGGTTATAACTCAAGAAATGGCTTCACATCAGCCTTATTGTTGCTGTTGGAGCAGAAACTTCAGCTGAGTTTATATATTTTAATACTTGTGGCCATTTTTTCATTGCATTCCTCCATAGAGAGTGTTAGCACACTCTGAGATATATAAGATGTTTGTGTGCCCTCCCCCACACTGGGTGTATGTTGTGTTATAGAAAATTTAATTTTTTTTTATGTTTGTAAGAATGTGGAGCAATCTGTGAATGTTAACTTATGTCATTTTTTTATGTTTGTAAGAATGTGGAGCAATCTGTGAATGTTAACTTATGTCAAAGGTAATAAATGTTCAATAACAAAACTAATGGGGGTGGAGGAGTTGTGAACCCCCATTAACATGCCATTTGTTCCAAACTATCATCCCACGAATTTTGGTTGAGATTGGTCCAGCAACCTAGGAGTAGTTAGATGACAGACGCACAGATTTTTGTGCTTTATGTATATAGACTGTGTTGGACGAGTGTTCGTTTATTCTTCTTCTATTTCTCAATGATGGTGGTGCCGCTCTTGGCCTAAATATTTTATGAAATTATGGGTCTTAAAAACTAGAGTCAGCTAAAATATGTAGTTTTTATCAACTTGTGAAATTTAGTTTGATCAAAGACATTGTAAGAAACATCACTCAACTGAGAAAATGTTTAACCAAATAGTGTTTTCAATACCAGTTGTAGAATAAAGCATAAACCATAATTAACTTGTATTAAGAACTTGCCATTGACTTCAGTGTTAAGCAAATTCCCAAAGGTTAAAGATATTGCAAATGCTAAATTAGAAATGTATTTTATCATAAAAAGCTTTAACTCGGAGTGTTTTAGATGTACATATTTTTTGCAGCTATTTAATAAATGAATGATTCATCATTAAAAGTATTATTCCTGAATTATAGATAATTATGTTGAATGTGTATATATCGCACAAAAAATTAAGTTAATTTAGAAACCATCTGAATTTTAAGAACAGAAAATGGATCTAAGTTTGTAACTTATGTCAATTTTGGTCTCAATCTAAATTCATAATCCAGAGGTAAAATATAAATAGTGTCTGTAGCAGGAGTGGCCAACCATTTTAACAGTTTTAATTTTTTTTTCATCTAGAAATATAGTCAGTGATAATAAAACATCCATTTACACAATTTTTATCATAATTTAAAGAAATAAAAGTTTAATATAAAAGTATTCAACAACCAAAAAATATTGTATAATTTTACAATCAACTTTGAAAAAATATTATTTTCCAAATAAATAGAAAAAAAAAGTGATTTAGGCATGCAGTAGGTAAAAAGACAGGGGGGAATAAATATTATTTGATTACTGTTAAACATTACAATTCAAGTAGTTTTTAACCTATCCAGAAACCAATAACGTAAAGAAAGAAATGTTGATGTGCCTACAGACCAGAGGTGATCAATAAGCAAAACACCTTTTATTTAGAAAATACCCCACATTGTAGCATATGGCACAAATTTTGTCCAGAACTTCTGCAAATGCATGTCATATAATTAATTATTTATTTTATTTAATTGGACTGCTTGGGTTTCTCTCTCCATTCAGATGGACTTTGACTTAGGGTGCTTTTTTTTTTTTTTAAGTCAATGGCACCTTACTCAAAATTCAGAATCCCCAAAATTGCTCAGAGAACCTTCTTGTACTTAGGTATATCATTGTAGCATTTATGATCCTAAACTCTGAGAATCCTGCCTTCATGCTTTTCTACGTCTTTGATATACATAAAAAACTTAAGTGCTTGATAGTTTTGGTAGTGTTGCAAAGTCAGAGGTTATATAAAGTAGCAGTATAATTTAAGATGTACTAGCATGGACACAAAAGGTATGTAAGAATATAAAGTGTATTGGACTTTTCACTTTTCAGCTATTAAGCTTATGGTAACAGTTGATGATTGTGTGTACTGTGTAATATACAAGAGTGATACGATATCTTTATAAAAGTAATTGAGTTTCTGTTCATTACCAAGCATATTGAATGTGAGTAAATGTTAGAATAAAACCACCTGTTCCTTGTCAAATAGCTGATATCAATGTGGTTGTGCCGAAATGCAAAATACATAATGATGCCAGCGTTGACATCTCATCCAGTGGAGAACTCTTGGCTGCGCTAGTCCCTAACTCCTCAGGAATTGTACATACTGCTGAGTTAGCTATTTATTCACTCAGTTCTCAGACAATTGGGCAGTGCTTATATACGTGGAGTTTTGGACCTAATGCAATTTCGGTCAGTCTCTCTCCTTTGGGCCATTACGTAGTTGTTGGGCAGGGCTCCTCACGTCTCTTCATTGGAACTTCCGAGGGAGAAGTGAGTAACTTACAATTTCTGAGTCAGAAAGAACAGATTCCTTTGTTTCACATACTTTTTTTTTTTAGATTTAGCTTTAATGTTCTTGAGTAAATACACCTGGTGAAATGTAACATTTATGGTTTTGTATGAAAACAACTTGAATTTCTTAGGATTTATATTTGTGAAAAAAACAATAAAAAGAGTGCATATGTTTTTTTTTGTTTTTTTTTCATATTCCACTTGATTTGCCCTACCCAAAATCAAATCAGACTTATATAAATATTATTTTTTACCCACCAAAAGTCCTTCTTTTTATTTCATTCAGTATAGAAACATGACACTATACTGGACTATGATGGTTAAGTTTATTCAAAATGCTATCTATATATGTAGTGCTAAAGTTAAAATGCTGAAATATGGCAAAACATTGAAAATTGCTAATTATAAAATTCATGATAAAAAAATCATCTTTGTTTGTCCATCCCAGATTATAAATCAGAGGTGTATAAAAAAAAAAAATTCAAATATAGTTCAACCTAGTCGATTAGTTCTGGTATTAAACAAAAGGTACAATGGATATTGTCTTATGGAAGACAAGATATGAGTGGACCGATATCTTGCATACCTCTGAGTTGAAATGAAACATCCATAACCCTGTTAGATTTATATCATAAATATTAGATCTATGTATTTCAATAGGTTTTCATCTTTTGCTATTGAAAAGCATAAAATTAACTTTCTTGCTCATTTTTATGAAATTTATCTCAGTGTATGTATAAGTACGTGTGTGTGTGTGTGTATATATATATATATAAATCTTACAAGGATCTTTATTTGCCACAGGTTGTAGCTCAAATATTTCGCTTAGACCCAAGAAATGAGAAAAAGTCATTGGTGGTAAGCAATTTTTAATGATTGTCATTGTAACTAAATAACAGAATCATTGTATATGTTTTTATTTAGGATTGTCTTCAGATGATATGTGTGTATTAGAGCAACAGTAAAAAAAAAAACACTTGGTTTAATAACATTAAAATGTGTTGCATGTTACATAGGTATTACAGACATTGGTAAGTTGTTGTTTTTAATATATAGCATGACTTGACTTAAATAAATAGTGTGAGACCAACGGATTTCATTTTTAACACAGAAATCGGGGATTTTTGAGGATTTATCAAATGTTTGGCTGAAATAAGTCTCATTTCATCCTTAAAACCAAACGTTGTTGTTGAAATCGAACTAGTCCTTTTTTTTACAATCTTATATTTGCAATATAGTTATATTTCTAAACCTAATTTTAAACCAAACAAGTTGTTGAAGGAAAACTCTACATTAGTATTACTGAGTTTTTAAAAGGTTCTTGAATTTTGTTCTTATACTGTGTTATGCAACAGTTATTAATATGACTTTTTTTTTTATACCTGTTTTATAATCGTGTGTTGCAGCATGTATATAATCTAACCTTAAATGGTCAACCTCACGTCAGTCTCAACTCAGTAAGATGGTTACCTCAGCCAGGTCAAGGACTTGTCTATGGAACAAACAGGGGAACACTCTGTATTTGTCGTCCACTGTAAGTTCATACTAAATCAAAAGTTAGGCTGTTCAAATTCATTACATTATTTCCTGTATATATATATATATATATAGATAATTCATATCCTATTTAATATTAGTTTAAACTGATTGTTCTTTATTTTAAATAAATTTTTCTTTATGCTGTTCTTAATTTTTTTAAGTATTTTAAATAATTGATAGGGAGAGAGAGCAAAGGAAGAAGAAGACAAAGAAAACCAAAACTAATGCTGAAGAAAGAAATGTAGCACATTGTATAGTTTGACATATTATAAACATAGTAAATCCTGAATCTTATGTTCACGTCCTTCCCCCTCCTGTGATAATATACGAGTGTCTTCAAGCTATTTAAGGTCTTTGACAGGAGAACTTGAAGTTCTCTTCTAGGAATGCTCTTAAAATCGAGTCAACCACATGCATCTTCCTGACATCTGGTGAAGTTTTTCAATATGACTAAAAATTGAACTTTTCTCTAAAAAGCAACTTAACTAAATGTGTACTATACACAGAATACAAAAAAAATACATTTTTAGATTATCTGAGGGTGTGCAATCAGGAAAGGTTCCTGATATAATAGCTTACAAATGTATAGTTCAGGTAAAGCAGAAAAGATCTATGACAAAGAGTTCTATCAGCTTATAAAAGATATTTATATAAAGAAAGAAAAGAGTCAACTGAAATTTAAAGTTTTTAGACCACCAGCTTCAAAATTTCACTGTTAGAAATAAGCAGTAAATGTGTACAAAAAACTACAGACTTGCAGCTTTTTTTTATCTGCAGAAGCAGGAAGTTTTAATATTCTACTTCCTTGGTAAAAGTTATAATTTTGGGGAGCAGAGGTCTAAAATTTACGGTATGTTTAGTAGTGAAAATATTTTTTTATCTAAAATGAATGCTTTGATAATAAAATAGAATATCGAGATAAAATTCTCAGTCTGAATATTTCAAATATGGTTTCATTTTGTAGGTGGTTTTAAGGGGAGATCAAACAACTTTTAATACTTCATGATGTCATTTGTCCTCGTAAGAAACATGAGACACTTGGCTAGAAAGATTTAGTAGTCTATCAGAAAATCCTATTGACATGTTCTCTTTGTCAACAAGGCGTGGAATTGAAAAGTCATAATATAAGAACCAACAACAGCAATATTTTGTGGTGTAAACATCTTTTACAAGCTGACGAAGGGTGATTATAAGTATACTTGTCGGCAATGGATATGGCAAATATAGTATAGTTAAAATCAATGTTTTCATGTGCACCAGTATCAAGGCAATGTGCAGATGTGTGGTACCATTTTTTAGGGGGGGGGGGATATTTTTAGACCATCGACCCTATTGGATCATTAGGCTGCTTTGAAATGCTACCAGTTGGTTAGTTTGGCTTTAGGCCTATTGACTGCCAAGGTCATTAAGGCTGTCAACGTGTTGAGACTCCTCACCATTACTGAGAATGTGCGCAGCTGGAATAATTAAGTGTGCGGCATTTGATTGGTTGTTGTGCGGCTGCGCAGCTTAAAAGGAACACTGGTTGGAATACTATTATTATACACTCTACTAATTCTTGAAAATCCTTAAGGAACTAAATAAAGAATGTAGTGTTTAAAAATATAATAGGCCTAATATCAATGTCTTATGACAAGTGTAATTAGCATCATGTTCTATTATCTCTTGTGACTGTTATGTTATCTCAGTCACGTACCAGGATAATTTTACTTGTTTCATCAACATTTTCATTTCCCCTATTCTTCATTTGTGTGGATGATTTAAGAGCGGTTGCCTGTTTTGTTTTTATCGAGGGGTGTGGGAGGAATTATTATGTTTCAGATTGTTTCATAAAATTCTAGTGTATTATGCGTATACAACATTCTATCGGTAATAATCCATTCATGTAAATGTGTCAATTAGAATGCCATCATCAGCTAACAGTGAGAGCCCTGTCCATAAGATTAGAGAATCCCAGATGTTTAACTGGAATTTGTCGCAGAGAACTGGAACCCAGAGACGCGAGAATGCTCAGTCTTCGGCTCTACAGACTTCATCCGCTGCCACACAGACACCTCGGCCCCGGACCAACACAACCGGCACTCAGACTTTTCTTGGAACTCAAGGAGAGGCTTCCACTAGTAGTAACTGGGTTGAAGACACTAATCTATGGATCGTTTAATGTATGCTATTTTGTTATCATGTTCACTTGTTTCAGCTGCACACAGTTTTTGGATGTTTCTGAATGTGTGATATAAACGGAGTATCTTTATTATGTGATAAATGTATTTCTGATTTAAACATTGTCAGTTGTATATTGTTTTTGTTTTCCCACTCTGTGCTATGTATGTATAGAGCACATCATGTAAAGGTTTAAACAAGGATTTTAATCACAATTAACTGGTTATGGAAAAGGAATGTTAGTAATAATGTATTTTAGAGGAGACTCAAAGAAGTTGCTTTCTGTGTTTTGGAATTGTTGTCAGATGGCTCAAACAGTATGTAATATAATGCTGTAACCCTTTTCATACCAGGCCTGGCCATGTAAGTAATCTACACAAACTCTTACGATTGAAAATAAGAAACGGTTAAACTTCCGGTTGTGTGTCAGAAACAGATTGTTTTCCAGTTTTCCTTTAACTTATTAGTTTAATTTCAATAATAATGATTAATTTCATTCTACATTTACCAATCAAGATATTTTTCAGTTCCAGATGTATAGCTAGATTAATACTTGGTGAGAAATTGAAAAATTTGTATTGTGGGTTCCCTTTATTTTTGTGGAAGTGATATGTATTTGTCTAAAAACAATTCTCCCAGATTAGGAAACTTTCACCTATGTAGTGTCTCATTTACATTGTAGTTGTGCTCTTGAAAGCTTTACATAACGTATACGTACATTGTTTCTTGCTAAGTCCATAACCAAAAGCTCACGAATTAATTCTGAAAAAAACATAAGTTTCGTATGCTTACATATACTTTAGCTTTCTTCAAGAAAAGTCACGAAATTCAAACATAATGTAAAATATGAATAAATCAGCACTGTTCTAGGTTCTTGATCGACAACGTTTTCAACAACAGAAAAAGCCCAAAAATGTTAACCTGATGTTTCTTCAATTGTAAACGCAACAAAGTTTCTCACAAAGCACATCATATTTTTATCCAGTGATAAAATAAGTTCTTAACTTTGTTAGTAGTTAAATCAGCTTTTAAGGTGAAGAATGTTAACATCTTGCTGTGATAGGTAAGAAAAACTTTCATCTTTAACAGTTAGAAGTTAACATGATTTCATAATGCTATGAATTAAACATTTGGTCCTTAGAATATACAAAATATGGATTAGCTAAAAATATCCAAAATAATTAGTAATGAATGTTTTATCACATATCAAAGAAATTTATCAATTTGAAAATAGCTTAATTTCTTAGATTATATATATATATATACACACAAGCAAAAGTACCCATTCCCGGTGATGAAAAAGTTTAAGTTAATTCATCAACTTAAATTATTTTATGGGCTTTAAGAAGGTTAATTGTATTGCACTTTTGGTTTCACTCGGAACCGAAACTACTTGTATCACCCACTAAAAGTAATTTTTGAAAGTTTCAGTCACGCTAAGAGCCGCTCAACAATAACATACGGTAAGTCTACATTTTTATTCTGTACGTTACATCACATTTTGAAATGTGAATGATAGTGTGATTAATATCTAACAATTAATGTAGAATGTCCTGATTGCAAAATAAAATTTGGCATCAACATTATTCATGCCTGTTCTCCTGTCATTTCAAAAGTGAATGTTGAGCTTTGCCTGCATGTGCAGCTTTTCAAATGGGAGACAGACACCACGATTTGCAATACATATAAGATTTTGTTTTTCCCTTCTTACTTTAATATTTCTTTTTTCTAGTAGTTTTTTCAAACTCATAACCCCCCCCCACACACACACACACACACACAGTGGCACAGCAATATGTCTGCAGACTTACAACTCTACAAACCAGGTTTCGATACCGTGCGCAGATAGCCCATTATGTAGCTTTGTGCTTAACTTCAAAACAATCAAACTTATGGGAAGCATGTTTTTCTGTTGTTGTTTTTTTTATACGTGAGCATCTGATTCAAGCAATTGGGATATATCTACATGAGTTATTTTATCCCATTCTGGAAAGGATTAAATATTATTATCTCAAAATGATATCAAATCATTGTTCCATCAAAAGAATCTGTCACTAATATAATTCTTTTGTCATTAACAAAATATCTCATTCTGTGCATATCACATTTTGCTAGGGATTCAGATTCGTTAAACGGAATATGACTATTGTTAGTATGCAGAATTGCAGTTTCTCGATAAATGTCCGTTTATCCAACTGAGTGTGCCATACATATATTATTTGCTTCATTTATTTTCTAGTTCAGCAGCCTTTTATGTAACCTTTTCCTAAATTGTTTCAAGTGTTCAAAAGTTAGGTTTTTTTTTAACTATTTCTACAAAAGAAATTAAAGTGATTCGAGTCATGAAGGTCTTAGCATGGTGTACTTCTTAATTAAATCATAAACTTACTACTGTGAACAATGCATAGTAGAAAGAAAATGATTGATTAGTTACTTAGTTTCTAATATTTTTGTCTGAAGAATACTTCCTCATGTTATAAGTTTATTCTTTAAAAAAAAGGTGAAAATACTTTTCAAGAATAAACTTATTTGTCATACTGGTTTTATAATGAGCAAAATTAATTTAACATGTTGGCTGCCATATAATAAATTAAATATAAATAAAATTAAACCTTCGAAAGGTGCCGAGGAGAAGTCACAGTGTCCCAAATTCATATGCCACAAGAGAAATTTTGCTTTGAAACATAATTGTCTGTGATTCACCTGTGTGTGTGTGTCATGTGGTCCATAACTGAAAGGTGGTTGTGATCCACTGGTGGGGCACATGGCAGCCAATTGTGTTAAAAGCTTAAATGGTTAATAGTTGAGTTAGGTATATCTTTACAAACAAATCTTAGTTCTGAATACTGTTGCCACTCAGGTGAGATTTGTTTTTTTTTAAATCTAAATCCCCATTGTGTAATATGCTGCTTGGTTCCCCATTATGCTACTTGGTAGAATTCCAAGTCAATCACTGTGCCATAGTAATCCAAGCCACAGAGCAGAAAAAAGCCTTGTTTCTCTCTTAAGTTTTTAGTACAAATTTTGAATGATATAATGTAACTTTGATTTTATACCACAGAATTTTATAATTGCAGAGGTCGGTGATAATTTTTCCTTCTTTATTTAATTTCTGAACACTTCAGTAAAAATCATCATTAAGGTAATATAAACATTGTCTCAATTGATCAGTTCAAAATGGCCCCCCCAGTGGCACAGCGGTATGTCTGCAGACCTACAGACACCCATGGAGGGCAGAGCACAGATAGCCAATTGTGCTTAACTACAAAACAAACAGTTCAAAATGCATCTAGTTGATAATAAAAGGAGTGAGATGAGAGTGGAAGGAACCAAATTTTCTTGGTCCGAAGGTTGCCTCACAACTGTCATTATAAGGTTCATGAATCCTTAACTGCTACTTATTCACTGTTCCACTAACCACACTAAAATTTTCTTCTTTTTCTTATGATAACATCACATTTATTTGAGACCCGAGGTAAAGTTCGATCCTTTCCATACCAAGGTGGTATATAAGATCTGTTGTGGAAGTGTGGCTTAATTGGCAGAAGTGGATGAAAATGGTGGCTCATATCTCTGAACAAGATGCCAATCCACTGCAGGTTAACCCTCAGCCAACAGGTGGTATCCATCATACATCTGGATAGAGTGAAACAAATGGGGTAAAGTGTCTTGCTGAAGGACACAACAGCATAACGCAATGCAACCATCCGACTACAAGATCAATTAGCATGTGTTGACCGATATTTGTAGATTTTATTGGGGGTGTGTCCTTTTGTACAAATGGATATTCAACTAGTGGGGGGACTCTGTACACCAGTGGTTCTTAACCTTGTTTGCTCCATGCCCCACCTCGACACCTTCTAAAAATTTGATGCCCCCTTAATATAAAAACAAATTTGGTGTTGAAAAGGTATAATAATATAATGTAAAATTTTTCTTATTGTACCATTTTAAAATCTCCCCCCCCCCATGGGGCATGCGCCCCTTGTTCAAAATCACTGCTGTACACTCTTCCTTGCATCAGGGCTACTGGAACTTGTTAATAACAACCATCAATTTCCTTTCACAAGCTACATCCTTAACGTGAAATAAGAGTTGTATTTTAAATGTTGTTTTGAGATGCATTGAATTTGTATTATTAGATATGCTGTTCCTAAAAATGTTACTTATCTAACATGTTAAAAATGTTTGTTGAGTAAACAGTCAACAACAGTTACTTGCTGTTTTAAACTACTTTGATTCCACTTTATTTCCCCCAAGATAATGAACATTGTATATGTCTTAAAATAGGCTTAAAGTTTACAATAAAATCATACAAACTGCAAAAATATTTTGGGGTGTTGACTTGTTGCAAATAAAAGATAGATCTCTAATTCTATTTGTATACACATCTGATTTGGGGTCTGAAATTAACAGATAAGAAAGAAATGTGAGAAAAAGCGAAAACCATCTGCATTTTATGTGATTTTTCTCTCACAAATTTTAGGCCTAATAGTTTCCACTGCTTTTTCATCTTTGGACATTAAAACTATAAAAGTATCTTCTTTTATCAGATTGTACCAACTCTTTTTAAACTTTTATCAAACACATAAGAGAAAAATAAATAATATAATTATTTTCCATTTCTAAAACTTTATATCAATTTGTCAACGCTGTCTTTTTTTTATGGTGTGAACTTTATTTTTTAGTATTGTCGATCACTGTTAGTTAGCTCAGATGGTCCAGCCCTTTACCTGTATAAGGCCAGCCTGTAGAGGATGGAAATATAGTAAGACTTACTGGAATTGGACTTTCTTAATAAGATTTATTCATGAATAAAATATTTTAACATGTATACTTCTGATTCATAATAGCGAGTGGGTAGTCTGGATAAATTCAGTCATAAGGCCAGGTACAGGATGCAAGTTGGACCAACCTGAGCTAGCTAGTTGAATTTTCTCAACTATTTTGTCTTTATTAATATTTTAATATAAAGTAGTTTTGATTTAAATCACGTATTATGTTTCAGAGATCTGCTTCTTACTTCAGAAAGTTTTTAAAGCTGATTGGCCGCTAATCAAACAATGCTGGTTATTGGGGTGTTTCAAAGCCGTATCATGTTTGAGATGATTGATCAACAT